CTTGCACAAGCTAACCAGTCGCGCCTACCATTGGCAATGGGCATCGTGCAGCCGCATATACCTGTTCGCCGTATGGCCAGCGAGCGCAAAACGCAGCTGACTGATGCATTAGTCAGAATCTTGAGCCGGTTTTTGACACCAGCCACGATCTCGATGGATGGGGCCCATGACAGTTATTACCGTGAGCATCTACTGCCTCTAGCAGCCCACGGTGATGGACATATCTTGACTGTCTCAATTGCACTGTTGCTGGCCATTCTGACAGGAAGATCTGACTTATGTATTGCAGGGGTCTTTGGTGCTGGCAAAACGCGGTCCCTTGCGGTCTTGCTCATTGCCCTGAGCTGCGAACTCAAGGACTTTGTTGCGATCATCTATACGAAAGAAAATGTAGCTGCCAAAGCACTTGCGGATCAATTAAGTGACCTCGCGCCCCCCACAATCAGGAGCTTTGGTAGGCTAATTGGTCGCATGGAGGAAGGTAAAGGAGACGCATATGCCTCCAAAATTGACGTCCGATGCAGTGACCGTAATAGAATCATCGCTCACAAGAATGTACACATTGCAACAGGTGGCTCAGCCACGGCGGAAATGGCGATGCGCTATTCCACTTTTGGCCATTGGATCTCTCGCACCTGGCTTGCTTTCATGGACGAAAGTCAACAGTATGGCAATTACCATGAAATTGCAGCTCTCGCTGCCATTCAACAACCAACCCTTACAGTCTTCATTGGAGATCACAGGCAAACACCAGGAGGGCTGTCCAAAGGCCGAGCAGCGGCTGTCAATCGACGCAAACTGTTGCAACGGCCGTTAGGGCTCCGAGCGCTTGAGAAGCCAGGAGACTATCTTCCGCCGGCACGAATGGCAGCCCTTGTAGCTCAGCTTTGGCCTGATGCGAGCCAAGATCCGGAGTCAGATCTCTTTAAATTGCTGAGACTTGCAAATAAGCCTCATAGTGGCCCATGGACATCCACTCCCACTCCGCAAGACTACGAGCTGCCTGTCGCCCTAAGGCGGGTGCTCCACTGCCGAATCTCGTGTCAGTTGGATGCACATAGCAGCCTCATTGCAGCAGCTCTAGCAGTCCTGCTGATTGCCACAGCACCAGAGGAGTTTGGAGTACCTGAGTGTACCACAACCCTTGAAGCAGCCGGGCTATGTGGTCCTCATCGTTGGGGTATCATTCTCCCCAACAGCTCACGGGTCTCAATGCTGACGTACCAAGCGATCGTTGCAGTTCGTTATCCTGAATTAGTCCTGCACGAGCCCAATCACATCTACATTGGACACTTCGTGCCACATGAGGCCACTGTGGCACAAGGAGGTTTCCGTACAGTACTGTGGAATGCACCTAAAGATCTAAGAGCAGCTGTTGAAGATGTGGTTGCCTTCTGCACCTACCCTGAAGAACTATTATCGCAACTTGCAACAGGGAGCGACCTCGCAGCTGCTTGTCTTATGCAACCGTACGGCGGTGCACAACTTGCTGCTCCAGCATGGCTTTCAGTCCGCGTGGTATGGCGGGCTGAGAGTTTCCACCACTTCCTCTGCTGCGGGGGCGACAGCACGCATTGCGGTCATTGTTCAAACAGGTGTCGGGTTTCTAAGTGGAGGACGTAGGGATGCAACAGCAGACGAGCGTGAGGACTGCTATGGAAGAGCAACTGTAGCGCTCACAAGAGCCATTGAACATACCTATATTGTCTCGCCTCTCGATATGGCAGGCATGATTGGCATGGCTCAGACAATAGGAGTGTACCATTATGGATACTTCACGCTGAAAGGCCGAGACATTCAGTACCATGGCCCTACAACCTACCCCAGCGACAAAAGTGCCATACTGGACTGGGGATTAAAGGCACCTTTCATTCCCCAAGATAAACCCCCCCTTGCTATTGCCATGATAGTAACCACTAATGGAACACGAGCGTGGCGACGATATCGGCTGGTTGTGGCATGCAGAGACAAGCTACGTCTTCCCCCTGATGTCCTCGCAGCGCTAGAGTCCCGCACCCGTGACCATGTGCTGACGGCCAGCGGGTTTTTCCCCTGCTCGATTGATCGTGAATACTTGTATGGTTACGCTGCTGATGGTTACAGATCTCCTCTCTGGCTATGTGCAGCCTATAATGGGTCCCCAGCACTTGTTCATCGACATAGAGGCCACAAAGTCTTCTTTCACGTGGGTATACAGGATCGACAACTTGTCGTAATCCCGGGTATCCATTACTTCGATGCCGATCGGTTGCAGCCGGACCTTTTGGCCACATTGGATCGCCAATTTGATCCAGGGTCTATGAAGCTCGCAAGCCCCGAGGGTGCAGGAGACACAGTGAATGACCCCTCCTCGGATGAGGAAGCAGCCTCTACCAATGACGAGAGTGATCCAGAAGACCCTACAGTTGCGTGGTGCCCACCCATACCTGATGCAGCTGAAGATCCCTCTGAAGACGAGATCGTGAGTGCAGCTGACAAGCTAGCAATCCTGATTACTAATGTCCAACCTAACGGAAACCCTTTTTGCATACCCGAAAACCTTGGAATTCTCCCGCCGCTGCGGCTACAGGCGAGATTGACGTTGTCTTTGACTGCCATCCAAGAAAAGTTTGCGCGCATCTTGCTGAGTGTGGCCTGTGAACTGGTTGCGCGGGCAAATTGCCAGTGTGGAGGATGTCCTCCTGCAGACGGCAAGGGCTCTCACAATTCGACTGGCAGAGAAGCTCGCCCAGGCGATGAGCTCGTTGATGAGATTGGCTGAATCCATGGTGACTCCAGAAACTGAATGCCTGTTGTATGCCACTTACTGGTTTCGGCCCATCCTGTCTGAACTCATTGGCTCGGCCCGAGAGAGCTCTGAGGTGAATCGGAGTCGAGCGCCGAGTGGCCCAGTTAAAGTCCTGGTCACAGATCGGCCGCATCGACGCACTACTGGGTTAGTGGACCTTACGAGTGGTGCCTCTGCCCTACTGGCATGGTTCCCAGCTAGCTGGGCCAGCAAAATTGCTCCCAAACTTCTCGAGAATGCTCCTGAGAATGCGCAGAAACCACAAGAAATCAACATCACGTGCCCAAAACGTTCCTGTGACGAGACTCCAGTGGAGGGAACAAAGCAGCTGCTCCAGGCAGTTAAATTTGCTGCCAAAAACATGCCTGGTTTTTGCCTTGGATTGGATGAAGACTTTCAAATGGCTGGATGTTTCCAGGAGCTCATCCATGGATATACCACAGGGCTCGTTGAACCATACATGATGCGAGGTCTCCAACCGCTGGGACCGAATCGCACTACTCTGGAAGTGATCATACCCTCTCAAGTAGGGCTTACACCTGAAAAGTGGAAAGAAACAGCCACACTGTGCCCACTCGATTGGCCTTCCAACTGCAGTTTGTTGCGATTGTGGCATACCAATGGAAGCCTTCATCAAACGGAAGCGCGACTCAGGAATCAACTGTCACACAGCCATATGTTTGCTGAGTGGACAGTGCATCTCCACAGATTTGCAGAGCGAGTTTTATTCCAGCAACCTGCAGTTTATGTAGCGGGACATGCCTTGCAAACCAACCTGCGGGAACGAAACTTCCCGGACAGGAAAGTCCGCAGGAGAGTCCCTCCGGAAGATCTGGACGAACACCGAAGGGCGATCCGAGCGCTTCAGCAGCGTGCTATTGCTCAGCAAGGAGTGAACCCAGTTTCGTTTGGACTCACCAACGAATGGAACGACACTATCACATCGGATAAAAAGCATTATTTGGAACACTTCACGAGAGGTATGACATGATCCCCAGCTCACCCCTGTTCGCACCACTTATACCCTTTCTGTGTCCACCCCTTCCCCCCCTTCCTCTTTTGTCTCATTTCGGTTTCACTCCCCATTGCTCCCTCACACAGTATTTGGCCTTTGTTTCATCAACAATGGTGGTGGGAGTTGACCTAAATCTCTGTTTGGTCCTTTCGTCATCTCTACTTAAGGTTACTGTCCATACCGGTGTGTCTGTCCAAAGACGTGACAGGTGCACTGGTATGCAGTAGGGGACACAGCTCTTCCTCATTTATAATTGTTAGGTTCATCATGCTGTACATGCCTGGCCCCTACCTGTCCAGATCTCTCCAACATTTGGTAGCCGCATTTGTAGTTGTGTGTGAGTGCCAGCTTAGGCATAACAGATCGGGCAGCATGCTTTCTCTTTGCACTAGTGTTCAGAATGTGTTGTCCAGTCGAGAGCTTAGATTATACTAAGGTCGCCTCCACCATGAAGCCTATTGCACGAGCGCACGCTCTCGCAGCCTTTGCCTGACAATCATCGATGGGTAATGAAACTGTTGTTATTATCCCCAGACTTAGTCTTGACGAGACACCCACTTTCCCACCCTTCCCACTAGTTAAGGTATCTGAATTCGCTGACTAATCCCTAGGTTTTGCCCTTAGCAGAGCTACATTAGGTTTGGTGCCTTGTTATTTGGTTCTGTTTTTTGTTGCCCGTTCCCTGCCTGACGTGGCCCTCCCTCCCCCTCGGATGGTCCTCTTTGGCGCCTTGGCCCAGGTCTTACTGGTCCCTCCCTCTGGGTATCGTTGCTTCCGGCGACGGCCTGGTTGCCTTGCCTCTGTGCGTGGAGTGTTTGTTGCGCATTGTCTCCCCTCCTCATTATGTCTCATGGCAACAAAGTTAGCGCTCCTGAAAGGATGATAACATTATTTCCTGCAGCAAAATCTTTTGCCTCTTTTGTATGGCAAAAGAAACCCAACAATTGTGAACCATAGACTAAAATGTTTCAAACCGAAACTGAAATTTCCACAACTGCTGTTCTTCCAGAGTTGGTGGTTTTGGTTTACCTTTTTCTCAATTATTGGGGTTTTGTTTTAACTTGGTAAAACACAAACCATTGTGAAATCTGAAACTCCGATCTGCACTTCCTCTGGGTAGATTTAATCTCTTTGTATATGTCAGTCCTGCGGTTCAAGCGTTCTAGCTGGGGGGTGGTGCAATGTTGTGATGCAGATATGGATCCTTCTATTTTGGACGACTCTGGTCATAACGACATTTTGGGTTCGGAAGATGGTTTAAATGTTGAAGCAACAATTGACGAACATCTTGAAGAGACTGGTTTCGATTTGGACTCGAATCATTGGCCGGTGCCTCGACAGTCTGGACCTGAAGTGGATACAGTAGCGCCATCACCAGTGGTTGGACAATCCAGTACTTTTAATTTTGAGAATTTGCTTGCACATGCCATTCGGAATGTTGCTGAATCTCCAGTACAACTGCCGTGGGAGTCTGATGAATGGGCTTGCATTTTTGACCCCACGCATGATCCTTTGGAGACGTTGGTGCCTCAGTTTGAACCCAAGCTCAAAGTTCCAAAGTTGATCCATGATAGGCCTGTTTGTGAATCAAATGCACCAGTGGATGATCCTAGTCATGCTCTTTCGCAGCCCTTGTTCACCATTGCAGTTTCCAGAAGGAAGGACCAGGTCTGGACCGAAAAGCGCGAAGCTGAGTTGCAGAGGGCATTGATGAAATGGGATACAATCATCAGAAACTGGCCAGATGCGTGGCGATGCAAGCGTGAGCTGGTAGCATGTTCTGCAGTGAATGAATCTATGAACCTGCTTGGAGACTATTTGTCAGGGAAAGCACCATCGACACTTGTGAAACGGGCAAACAGCATGGTCTTTTTACACACTACTTTGCAACAGTTAGGATTTTTCTGGCCTGTTGGCGAGCCTGACGTGTACAGAATCATTAAGACGTTGCATTCATCGGGTAACAGCACTAGCCGTTTGAAGTCGATCCTGGAAGCCATCACCTTTTGCAGGTACTCATTTGACATCGAGGACCTTCATCCGATCACGGTCAGCAAGCGCTGCCTGGGAGCCACTGGAGGAGACGTTGCAAACAAGTTGAACCAAGCTGCACCGTTGACAGTTGCAGACATTTGGCAATTGCATCTGTGCTTGGATACAGGGGATGCTTGGGACAGGGTTTTCAGTGGTGCAGCTCTTTTCTGCATATATGCACGTGCAAGATGGAGTGACTTCATTCATGGCAACTGCATTAGACTGGATGTGTTGGATTCCACCGGCCAAGTGGCTTACGCTGACATGGAGGTGCAAATTCATAAGACCATGAAGGCAGCGGCGAACAAGTTCAAATTTTTGGACCTAGTTGTTTCTGGCAGTGGATTTTTTGGGAACGATTGGGTAAGAAGCTGGGTTGATGCACTCAACAACATTGGCGTTGATCCTTTCTCAAACGAACCTGGGAAGACCTTGATGCCAGCGCCAGCTGCTGATGGCACAGCCCTTCAACGAGCCTTGGAGAGCGATGAGGCCAGTGTTTGGCTGAGGTTGATGTTGGGAGAGAAGGTCAAACGTAGTGAAAGCACTAGGCAGATCTCTTCACACTCACTCAAAGCAACACTCCTTTCGATGGCGGCCAAACGAGGGTTAAAGCATGAGGACAGGTTGGCGATGGGTCACCATGTGCATCCTTTTAAGATGGCAGACACTTATGCAAGGGATGCCCAAGCAAGGACGATCCGTTTGATCGACAAACTTTTGCTGGAGATACGTGCAGGTTATTTCAACCCAGATTCTACGAGGGCTGGAAGGTTCAACAAGAACTATGCACCGGACTCCTCTATGGATGTGGGCGCAGTTTCATTCTTTGAGAGCGAGGTCGAAAGTGCTGCATTGGAAGCAGCAGTTGATGAGACATTGGACGATGCGGTGCAAGTGGTTGAAGATGACCAAATAGATTTGGAAGAAGAGCATTTCACGAGCTCGTCTTCTGACAGTGATGCAGAGAGTTTGGAATACAATGCCCCTGTCAGGATTTTTCAGCCACCGACGGCACCATCAGGTTTCCACTTCATGCAGCACAAGCGTACCAGGACACTCCACCTTGTTGATGCCAAGTATCCCCATGGAACCTGTTGTGGTCGAGTATTAGATCAGAACTTTGCAGAACCCTCGCAGCTTAGGTGGGATTCTGCAGTTTGCCATGTGTGCCGAAGGCATAGGATGGCTTGAAAAAGGCACTTGACATCAACCAAACGGTTGCGCCAAAAGAGAAGTTGCAGTGCTGAGGTCGATTTGAAGTGACCTGCATTACTCATTTTTATCAGCCAAGCTGGGTGACCGGGGTGGTTTTATAAGTTCCAACCGGTCAAAGGTTGCTCCAACGGTTGCCGGGTGGTTGCGACCAGTGGGGTGAAGAGGAGTCCAAACCTTATACCCATCGAAAAACTCCTTTTTTATTCCTTGTCAAATGTGGTCATCCAGTTTGACAGTGGTGATGAAAAGGTGCAGCAAAATCCAGTTTTGTGAAATCAAAGACACGTGCGGCACCACCTTTCAGGTTGACAATGTGTGGTCATCCAACATTGCAAGGCAAGGATCCAGTGGTGTCCGGGCCATTGATGGCAGCGGTTTGGACTCGCCACGTGTGGTCTTTGGCTCAGAGCTCAGTTTGAAATGTTAGACCTTGGGGTGCAGTGCTTTTGACATGACAATCACATAGGCTGGGGCGCGACCAACAAAAATTAGTTTGTCCAACACAGAGTTTAGGATTCTTTTCAATGACAGTGGACTCGACCTTGATTTCTTTTAGAAGTAGTTAAGCAACACAGCAATGACGCTGGTGGACTCTGAAGCTGCATTCAAGCAACGTTGTGCAGAGCTGTCGACAACAACACTGGATTTGCACGCGCTATTGACGGCGCAGAACATTTCATGTTTCTCAGAGCTAGCCTTCTCGTGTGGGGCACCAAACAAAGCGCCCACAGACGAAGAGTTCAGAAATTTTTCAACGCAAGTTTTAGGTGCAGGTTTCACGGCTGGACAACAGAGTTTGTTGAGAAGGGTTCATTTCGAAGCAGCTACTTTTGTCCTCTCGCAGCTCAAATCGGCAGTGACCAGTGATGCTTTAGATGGTGCTAAGAAGCTGCCATTTGCAGAGAAACAAGCTCGATACGAGAAAGTGCGCACTAAGATTCCAGGTTTTCTGATCCAAGGTGAAACGGAACCATCGCACGCTTTGCTGGACAAGTGCCAAAACATTTATGACACCGGTGCCATCATTTGGATTTCACCCTCAATGTGCACCAAGAGGGACGCAGAAGTACAAGCTATGCCAAAGGATTCACACCAGATCCTACGCATTGAGTCACAGACGCTCAAGGTTGGAACAGACGGGCCTAAGTTGGATGATGCAGACCATGGATCAGAAATCAAATTACAATGGTGTTTTCAGCGCAGAGGAGTGGCATTCGAGATGTGTGATATGGTGTCATGGGAGGTATCCCAGAAGTGGCTGGCCACGATGTTTGCAGCTTACTGCACAGATCCTCCAACAGGATTTGGAAAGGTCGGCTTGCAGCAATTGGTGTCAGCAGACAAAGCAATGTGGACCATATTGGCTAGGGAGTTGTCAACTGTCAAGCCAGACAACACAGGAAAGCGACCACTGGATGAGGCAATTCTAAAATTGGTGCATGATCCACGTGTCACCATGTACATGTTGTCCCTTCCAAACAAAGGACCAGCTACCTCAGTGCCAACTCGGCCGGCCAGCACACCAGACATGACACCTTCTGCAGTGCAGCCGAAAAAGAAGGCAAGACCCAGCAAGAAGAATAGGACAGCCCCTACTCCTCCTGATGAGCTGAAAGGATGCTATCAACATACAGCGGACAACAAGCCAATTTGTTGGTCATATAATTTGAAGAATGGGTGCTCTCTTGAGGCATCTGGACAGCCTCCAAAGTGCAGAAGAGGAGTTCACATTTGCGCCTTCTGTCGCAAGCAGGGTCATTCTTTTCAGCAGTGCAAGTCGGCTCCGGGGAAGTAACCCCCACACAAGGAAGCAAATCAGATACAGTTTCACATCAAAATTTATGCAGGAGATGCCCAACACGCCTGAAGGTGCCAGTTGGAACATAGTGTCACCCTACAGAAGATCCCCCTGACTCGAAAGGTTCTGTTTGAAAAACATCCTTTTCTTGGTGGTGCTGGTTGGAGATTCTTGCAAGGAATGGCTGTTGACAAAGGTGCAGAAAGAGCGAAAGTGCGCAGCTCAATCTTTTGGCCTCACCAACTCAGAGGACTTGCAGTTCCTGATGGATTTCATCAAGCAGGAAGCTTTTAACCTCTGCCTATTCCACTTTGCACCACCGTGTGGAGCCTGCTCAGCCGCCAGAAAAAGAGAGTCGCCTTTGGAGGTGCAAGCAAAGTTGAAGGATGGTGGAATAGCACCGCCACTGCAGTTGCGCTCAGAATAATTTACAATGGGCTCACAGTGGTTGCAAGTTTAGATTCATGTCATATAAGTATAACAAACAAACAAACTATACTTCGCAACAAAGGATTTGACCCATTCAAGACTACTGTGTGATGGGCGGTGAAAGACAGAAACAAAACACGTTAGTGGTACAGCTATCAATTTTTCTCTTCCTTTAATTTACCTTGCTTAAAGGATCACACTCGCCCAAGCCATGGACTTCCAATTTTGACAGTGGTAGCGTCCATTATCCTACAAAGCACAAAACAGCACACACCAGAGAGTGCTGCTTTTCATTGCTGCTTTGCAAGCGCGGGACATCGAACTGCTACAGACCATAACGTAGCAGATTGTCCAGAGACGCACCACTGCGATCGCTTCTGTGGCTATGGAATTACCTCCAAGAATTAGTTCAAATTACGAACGGAAACTTCTTACTGGGGGTGAAAAGCGGGTTTCCGACCTGGATGGTTGGTTTCCGACCTGGATGGTTGGTTTCCGACCTGGCTTGTGACAATTTCCGACCTGGCTGGTGACAACTTCCGACCTGGCTGGTGACAAGCGGGTTGCGGTTTTTCTGTGACAATTTCCGACCTGGCTGGTGACAATTTCCGACCTGGCTGGTGACCAGCGGGTTGCGGTTTTTCTGACCTGGCTAGTGGGTGAAAAACAGGTTTCCGATTTGGTTGATGATAAGCGGGCTTCAGACCTTGCTGTTAATTTCTTCTGATGTCCTTGAAGTAATTGAAAAGACCAGATGTCAGCAAAGGAACGTAAGTTGAGCTGGTGACGTTTAGAATCCCGAGAGAGTTTTGGGATTTTGCATTGCAGACCTGGTTGACGAAAAGCTTCGAGCAGCTTGCGAGAGAGAATGGATCTCGGATAACGCATCTGACGAACTTTCACAACAAAATCATAGCACATCAACCTGGTTTGAGGCTAAACGAAAAGGTTGGAATTATCAATAGCTTTAAGCAGTGTTGTTTCAACGCTGGTTGTGGACTTCCAGAGAAGTGCACTGGGCATGGGATAGATTTCCCTGCGGTTTCCTCGTTTTTAAGAGCTGGTGTCGACCTCAAACCTTCATATAGGCGGAGGACCAACATCGCTGGAATGTGTGGTTCGTGAGAGTTTTCGGCCACTCAAACATAGTGGGTGAGCCCGGCCATAAACACGTTGAACACGTTGAAGCTAGTGGGGTCATGCGCCGTCAGTACGAATGGAAGTGGTCATTGGCTCACTGGAAGCAGTCGAGCACAGGCTCATATGGGGGTGATGGCGGGTGCTCGAACGTTGCATCCCATCAGTCCGGATGGAGCTTGAATAGACCCCCGTGCGGAAAAAGAAAGGGGTGGAATCCTCCACTTCAGTTGCAGTTGATTCAGAATTCGCATGTCCGTTTTTTGCACTTGATTTCTTGGAAATCGCACATGTCAGTTTTCACACGTCGTTTCGGATTGGCGCGTTTTTCGAAGTCGCGTATAATTTATACTATATATGTATAGATACAGGGTGGTTTCATGACATGGAGCTTTGTTTCATACCAACTTAAGCGGAGTCAGAATATATGTCTTTAGAAATTGCCAGTATCTGGTTCTGCGTTCCTTGGTTCACACTTGGGTGGTTTTGCCAAGGGAATAAGTTAGCGCTCCTGAAAGGATGATAACATTATTTCCTGCAGCAAAATCTTTTGCCTCTTTTGTATGGCAAAAGAAACCCAACAAGTGTGAACCATAGACTAAAATGTTTCAAACCGAAACTGAAATTTCCACAACTGCTGTTCTTCCAGAGTTGGTGGTTTTGGTTTACCTTTTTCTCAATTATTGGGGTTTTGTTTTAACTTGGTAAAACACAAACCATTGTGAAATCTGAAACTCCGATCTGCACTTCCTCTGGGTAGATTTAATCTCTTTGTATATGTCAGTCCTGCGGTTCAAGCGTTCTACCCTCCCACAACCACCCTCTTGAATATCCTTCTCTGTTACGTACAGTGTGACACCCTAGTGTCCTGATGTCGCAAATCCTGCTCAGTCACTTACTTTCTCTGCGAAAGTCGCATGACAGTCTTACAGCTCCAGTGCCATATTGAGGCCACAGTGGACCTTTTGCAAGACATGGGATTTGATGGACATTTTAAGGTGATCTTTTTGGACCAGCTTCACGCTGCACTTTCAAATTTTGCACTTGTGCACTCAAGAAGTCAGTTGGCTTAAAGCCTGTCTCTCTGACTTTTCTTCCGCGACCCCACGTTTGATTTCCATTAATTTTCAGAAACCAGACGGCCTTTCCGTCTGCTGCCTAACCCTCAGCCTGTGATGGCGGGTGCTCGAACGTTGCATCCCATCAGTCCGGATGGAGCTTGAATAGACCCCCGTGCGGAAAAAGAAAGGGGTGGAATCCTCCACTTCAGTTGCAGTTGATTCAGAATTCGCATGTCCGTTTTTTGCACTTGATTTCTTGGAAATCGCACATGTCAGTTTTCACACGTCGTTTCGGATTGGTGCGTTTTTCGAAGTCGCGTATAATTTATACTATATATGTATAGATACAGGGTGGTTTCATGACATGGAGTTTTGTTTCATACCAACTTAAGCGGAGTCAGAATATATGTCTTTAGAAATTGCCAGTATCTGGTTCTGCGTTCCTTGGTTCACACTTGGGTGGTTTTGCCAAGGGAATAAGGCCTTTGGCCCTGTGTGGGGATCTTTCCCTCTACACCATGCTTCATGTGTTGCTGGGGGCTGTGTGCTCCCTCACTGAGGTATTCATCATTGTATGATCCTTGGCCCCTTTTTGGACTCCGCTAAGGCACGTTCGTACCCCTTCTTGTGCGTGTGTGTCCTTTCTCTCTCTGTCCTCTGCTGCCTCCTGGCTCCTCTCCTCGCTTCTTCTGTGTGGCTTGTGGTGTTGTGTGTGTTGTGCTTTGGCCGCTCCCCCCTTTGTGCTTCCCCCCATGATGGCTGGTTTCTTTTGGTTGGCTCTTTGTTGTTTGCTTCATCTGTTGCCTGGATACCGAGGTACCGCTCTGCATAATAACTGTTCGTTTCACCTTTGCTACATTAGACTCATCTGGTAGTGACTAAGGATTTGTCCGAGATGGGGCGTTTTTGTCACCGTCCCCCCCTCTCCTTGGTTCCCCTTTGAATTCGTTTGTTGTTTGGTTTGGTTGAGTCTTGTGGCTCTTTCTTGGGCTGTATTGGGAAGGGCCCTTCTCGCTCTGTTTTGTTTCTGCGTTTTTTCCGAGAGGGGCGGTAGATTCCCGGTAGAGCCATGGACTAGGCTGCACTGCAGTGAGCTCTACTGGCGCTGTCCAGTTGTGCTTCCTGCTGTTCAGTCTGGAGCGCCCGAGTGCAGGAAAGCCTGCCCACATGGTTCGTTGTGCGGATGTTCTGTAATGCCCTGGCAATGGCCCACTCGGTGGGAGAGAGTGGCCTCGTCTGGAATACACAGCTAACATACGGTGCATCTGGTCCTCTCCGCAGGACTTGCTGGGACGATGACGCCTAGTGACTCCTGTTTGAGACCTAGTGCTGACGCAGTGAACCACTTCAACCTTCATAGTTTAGGGGAACGAGTTCGACAGCAATGCGAATGCGACTTTTGCATACATAGCGGCAGTATCATACTGGAAGTGCTCACGAGCCCATGCTATGGTCGGAAGCTTCATCTGTCTGTCATGGCCGTATTGTGCCGGTCAGGCCTATAGCCACCTTTTTACCCACGGCCTTAGGGTCTTGGGCCCATTGCGATCTGACGGTTTCTGCGAGTGCTCACACCATTTTGCAGGCTGTCAAGTGCTCTCCTCCCCACTTAGGGGGGGAAATAGATTACAATCCCTTGCGGTGGTGCATATTGACAGGAACAGACTGCCGTGCATACGCTGAATGATACAGGGTGAACAGCAGCGATGCGAAGTTGCTATTGACAAGACGTCCATACAGGCGGCCTTTGTCGTGTCACACATCAGACTGCCTGCAATATTGGATTCTCTTCTCTCTTCTCAGGTAAGACTGTCTGGACGATCGTGTACTATACTCTATGCACTGCCGCAATTAATTAGACTGCATGTTTTTGAGGATGATACAGTGGCTTAGGTCACTGTATCCAAGGCAAATCTCAAGTTTGGTTTTGGTTTTTGTTGGGCCCTGCCCCGTTTTTTGTTGCTTCGCTGTTTTGCTTTGTGGCGAAACGCAAATCTGGCTGGGGGATTTGCGGGTCGTTTTTGGTTGCGTTTTTGTTTTGTTTGGTTTGTTTTTCGTGATGATTTGCCTGAGTTTTTGGACCACACGTGTCCTATACTTTACTGCTTTTCACCGCTTACGCAATTGTAAGGACCGTGCCTAGTGCGATCGGCCAAACCGGAGGAAAAAAAAAAGAAGTACGTCGCTTGGCTGCAACGAATGAAGCAGAGAACCCTGTCTCCTTTGCCATTGGGAATAGCTGGAATGATACTCTCCGAGCAGACAAACACCACCACCTTGAATACACTACACGGAGTCAGACATAGCCTTCTTTCTTCCTCCTCCTCCACTTGCTCCTGGGTCGCACCCCTCGCACCACCTCGTTGTCTCTCCGGATTAATTTTCGTTTCTCTTCTGGCCCCCCTTATCAGTTGGGTGGGGCCCTTTTTGCCCCGGTCGGGACCTAACTTTGGCTCCTCCGTGTCCGGTTAGTCTCTCACTTGTTTTGTTCACTTGGGTCTTCATTTCCACTGGCGTATCTGTCCATAGACGTGACAGGTCCACTGGTGCCCTATTCTCCCAAGTGTATGTTTTGGGCTAAGTTTCTCTCTGTACTTGTGTGTCTGTCCGTAGACGTGACAGGTGCACCCGTACTCCTCTAATTCGTTTTGCTGTTTCTTGTCTTGTTTAGCCGCACGCCCCTCCTCCTCGTCTGTCTTCTTTTCGCTTCTTGCCTTACTTCGGTCAAGCGCACTTTGCTCTTCCCTTGCTTTGTCTGTGCTGCCCTCATTCTCTTTGGCTGTCTTGTGCTTCCTTGCTT